CAAGAGAATGGCCATCTATTACCGACAACTCATTTTGTTACATTTGATGTAACTGATTTGTATACAATGATACCGAGAAATGGAGCATTAGAAGCATTAGGACGATTTCTAGTTAAAACATCTACAGGAGGCAAAATTGGTAATTTATCTATTGATACTATCTTAAAATTAGCTCGTCTAGTATTAGATACGAATTATTTTGTCTATAATAATAAATATTATCGACAAATCAAAGGTGGAGCTATGGGTTCAGCATTTACAATGACATTAGCCAATGTTTATATGTTAGAATGGGAACAACCATTAATTGAATTACAAGCACAACAAGGAGAAATCTATGGAAGGTAAGATATGTATATATATGTGTGTATAAAAAGAAAAGATTTTATGCTCTTTTGTAGATACATCGATGATGTCTTCATGACATCGAATATGTCGACTAATGTTATACATGATAAACTTGACTGGATGAATCAAAAGGATCATAAACATATAAAAATTACATATTCGGTTGATCTGAAAGTTGAATTTCTTGATGTTCAAATTGAAAATCATCATGGATTATTAAAAACATCAGTCTATCGGAAACCAGCTGCTGAACCATATATATTACCATATTCATCTGACCATCCTCATCATATACATATGAATATACCGTATGAAGCATTATTACAAGCTGCTCGGTTATGTTCAGATGTGTACACATTCGATAAAGAACGATTAGATATTGAAATTAAGCTATTATTAAATGGTTATCCACCACAATTTCTTAAATATCACTTTAATCGATTTTTTCGCTTGAATCAAGTATTAGAAGTATGCACTGAATTAGATGCACACAAATATCAAATGTTGCATCAAAAGTTATTATATTTACCGACACGGCGTGAAAAGAAATATCAACGGCAAACAACAGACGAAAATGATAATTCAATAGATAAACAATGGAATAGAAAGATTCTAATGTTATCACATACATATGAAAGTGGCCCATCAAAAAATTTTAGACGAGAATTTCGAAAGTTATGGACAAAATATTATGTCTACAAAGGATCAGTTGTCAAAAATGTGCGTACAATGATAACAGCACTGAATAATCCATCATTGAATGATTTACTTGTTCGTAAGAAACCACCTGCATCGTTATTAACTAAAATGGAAATATTATTGTCTCCGCCGTCATCCAAGATCGAATCAGAACAAGATACTGAACCTAAGAAATAGATATAAACAAACAGTTTTCTCTTCATATTCATACTTATTTTATATATGAGCTTTTATAATATATTTCTAACTTCATATATATAATAAAATCATTTATATGTAACTAGTTGTCTAAGATTTCAATGTGTTTGCTTTATATTGTAGATTTAAATAGAAATTCTAAACATCAAAGATGCCTAGTCGTAAGAAAGGTTCTCAAAAGAAGCCTATAATAAAAAGACTTCTAGATGGAATCTTACCAAATAGAAGATCAACAAATGATACCACGGGTAATGTAACAGATGATGATACACAACTTGATTCATCTGATACATTAGGTATTCGATCATCTAGTGCCTTAAAACGGCATGAAGAATTACCAAGAAATCGAGGAACATCACCTAATCCAACTTTAACAGGTGAAACCTCGTCAAGACAAGGTGAAAGCGTAAGATCAATTTCTAATTCACATAAATTCGAACATTAAAGTTTCGTATATATTTTTGGATATGTAGGAGACTCCATTGGTCACGGCCAATACTCAATTCTTCTACTCACCAATGTATCGACGATACTTTGGTTTAACACCACCAAATCCACGATTATGTAATCCTCGGTTATTAGAGGATTACATTGATTGGTACATCAATGTGTACATGGAAAAAGATTTTCCATGGGAGTGGGTATGAGAAACGAGTAGTAACACTAGAAGAATCTTGAAACTAATTCAATGTTGTTATCGTTTAGATGAATGTTGGTAATGCTCGACAAAGAGTCGAACAAGATGAACAAGAAGCAAGAGAAGAAGCAGAAAGATTCGCTTCCACTTCGACAACTCCAACTCAAAGAAACTAATTCAACACGTCGAAGCAAACAATCAAATAGGCAATCATCGAATAAACTTTCTTTTTCCTATCGTGTTTGTATCTATTTGATTGATTTTACATAATAAAACAAGATCAAAACAAGAACAAATATTCATTTAAAGAACTCCAGCTAGGTAACTGACATTCGAAGTTTGTTTTCTCATTTAAGATAAACTTCATTTAAATTCATCTGCATCTAAAATTTGGTATTGTATATTCCATATTTTCACAATGAAGATGAGAATATCATTTCAGTCATTACTTAGTCTTCTTGACCGTTAGAACAATTGAGACTTAATCTAACATCACAATGGAAAGTAGCAAAAATCAGAAGGCAAACAGCAACGAAAATAAAACAATATTTAATTCAGAGCAGCTAGCGAGCAAGGTGAAGACAAGACTGTCAAAGGTTGATTGAACCGGCCGGTTTTCTTAGAACTCTATGTTTACAGAAACAGCTCTTGTCTACTGATCCTTGATACTTCAATATTTTCATACAAAACATTGAAACACAATATCCGAATGTCACATTCTTAGGACAGTGTATTGAGAATAGAAATGCGTCAGAAATATATCAACAACACTGATTGTAAACGAAAACCGGTCATGGTAGCTCCGATTAACTGGCATCAGTATAAAATACTTGATGAAATACAGAGGATACACTGTTATTCCAGTAATCGAATAAAGCCATCTGATGAGACCTATGAGCAAGGTCGAAACCGGTAATAGATGTACACAATATGCTTCATATAGCAAACTATAACGGTAATCATATAATATTTGAATTCTCACTCATCAGAAAACACAACAAAATTTTAAAAGCAGTCGATTTCATCGGTT